CTCTCTAAATAGCCTGGAGAGGGGTTTAGGGTTTATTAGGGTTTATAGGGTTTAGGGTGTAGGGTTTTGGGTTTAGGGTTTAGGGTTTAGGGTTTAGGGTTTAGGTTTAGGGTTTAGGTTTAGGGTTTAGGGTCCCTAAACCTTACACCCTAAACCCTTAACCCCTAAACCCCTAAGCCCCGACACCCTAACGGTTTAGGAGCTTCGGGGCTTAGGGCTTTCGGGTTTCAGGTTTAGGGTTTACCTATTTTTTTTGTGAGGGATGGCAGGGTATTCAAGGGGTTTCAGGTCTTGAGGGGTTGGGTTTGGGATTCAGGGTTTAGGGTTTAGGGTCTAGGGGTTTAGGGTGTAGGGTTTGGGGGTTTAGGGTTTGGGTTTTACCATGTAGGGGCATTTCAGCTAAGGTTTTGGGTTCAGGCGTTCGGAATTCGGTTTTTTGGGCCCGGAATTGGGGCTTGGGAGTTCGGTTTAGGAGTTCGCACTATGGGGTTTAGAGTCCAGGTCTTGGGAGTTTAGGCCTCGTGTTTAGCGTTTAGGGTTCATGCCCCCGGAGCAAGCAATGATTCAGTTTCTGGTTTGATCCTTTGCGCATCAGGTGTCGCTCGGTTTGTTTCCCAGATTTACGGTGCACCTCCCGACCTCCTTCCCTGAAGGGTGGTGTTCTGCCTGAACCCCGAGCCCGGCAGCCCTAAGCCTAAAACCCTGAACCCCTAAACCGTAAACCCTAAATACCCTAAGCCCTACTTGGAGGGTCGGAGGACTTAGTAAGTGGGTAATACGTAGACTTCTAAGTACCTTAGAAGGGATCCTGACTGGGGTTATGAGCCCTATAACTCTATGAAGTAACTACTTACTAAGTCCCCTCGACCCTCCAAGTAAACCCTAAGCCCTAAACCCTAAACCCTAGACCCCAAACCCTAGACCCTAAACCCCAAAACCCTAAACCCCCGACCGATCCTGCTTGGATCTACTCACGTCGACTTTTCCTATGCTGGAAGAGTTTGGAGCTCTTTCGGGACTCAAGGTTTTAGGGTCTTCGGGTCTTAGAGCTTTTTAGGGCTTAGGGTTTAGGGTTTAGAGGTTTAGGGTTTATGGTTTAGGATTTAGAGTTTAGGGTTTAGGGTTTAGGGGTTTAGGGTTTAGGGGTTTAGGGTTTAGGATTTAGAGTTTAGGGTTTAGGGTCTAGGGGTTTAAGGTTTAGGGGTTTAGGGTAGTTTAGGGTTTAGGATTTAGAGTTTAGGGCTAAGGGACCTCTACATCACCTAGGTTCGCCCTGATCCATCACCACCAATGCTGCAGCCTGTAGCGTCCCAAACCCCAAACCCTTTCGCATCGCACTAAGTAGTGATCCTACATGCGACTTAGATTCGCAAGCGATGAAGAGGCAACCACAAGCCGCCCCAAGACCCCAAACCTAGAAGCCTAAAACTTCATAAAGCGCGCAAGCCCCAAACCCCACACACCCAAGAAGCCCTAAACCTGCCCGTTGCACACATAGGCCTAGTTTTCTCTTGCGCTGCTGGAGCCTTAAACCCTCAACCCTAAATCCTAGACCCTAAACCCTAAACCTTGACCTCTAACCCCTAGACCCTAAACCCTGAACCCTAAGCCCTAAACCCTAAACGCTTAAACCCTAAGCCAGAAACCCCTAGACCCTAAACCCTAGACCCTAAGCCCTAGACCCTAAACCCTAAACCCTAAACCTTGAACTCTAGCCCCTAAACCCTAAACCCCTATACCCTAAATTCTAAACCTTAGACCCTAACCCTTAAACCCCTAAGCCCTAAGCCCTAAACCCCTAAACCCCTAGACCCTAAACCCTAAACCCTAAACCCCAAACCCCTATAAGCCAGAGCCGAAGTGCCCGAAGCTCTCGGCCAGCCCTTGTCCACCAAAGCCGGCACGCCCTACTACGTGGCTCCCCAGGCGGGCGGAGCTTCGGGGAACCCCGAAGCGGTTTAGGGTTTGGGGTTTTAGGGTTTAGGGTCTGCGGTTTAGAGTTTAGGGTTTACGGTTTTAGGGTTTAGGGTTTAGTTTTTTTTTGGAGTGGGGGACACTGTTTTTTTGGGGTTGGGGTTTTGGGGTGACAAGGGATTTTGGGGATTTAGGGGTTTAGGGCTTGCAGGGCTTGTAGGGTTTGTAGAGCTGCAGAGCTTATACGGGTTTCTATTGGGCATGGAGTTGGTTTGGAGGTTAAGTTTTAGGGTTTTTTGTGTTTCGGGTTGTCATAGCTGTCCCTAAACCCTACATTTAGGACAATTTCAGGTGGGTAGTTACCGTTATAGGAGCCTTTTTAGAAGGTCTACATACTGTATAGAAGCCTTATAGAAGCCCTATATACCCTAAACTCCCCACCTGTAATTTCCTTGAACCTAAACCCATGTTTTGCAGTGCCGATTGATCGGGTTTCGGGAAGATGAAAGCCCTGGGTCGTCTTCTCCGCCTCGTAACTGCTGGAGCTACAGTGTCCTTCTTGCAGACGACGGGCCTCCTAAACCCTGAACCTTAAACCCTAAACCCTGAACTCTAAAACCCTAAACCCCAAACTCTAAACCCTGAAAGAGGAGGGCCTCAGGTGGACTCCCTTTGAGAGCCGGCGCGTTTCGTAGCATATGACGAAGGAAGGGACCTCGAATCGACGAAGGTCGGGTGCTTGAGGAGATGAACTTGGAGGCGCAGGGGACTTAGTAAGTGGTTAAAAGTAGAGCTATAAGTACCCTAACTGGAGTTACCCCAATTATAACCCTGCTTATAACCGACTTACTAAGTCCCCTGGGCCTCCAAGAAGGGCTGCTGTGGGGGCGACTACCGGCACGTCTTCAGTGGACGGGCGCTCGGGTCCTCTACGTGGGCCTGGTTGCTTCGGGCCTTACCGCTCCACCGAATCCCATGTTCATGCTGCCTTCTTCTTCGAGGGTCGAGGCCTGAATTTCAGGGCTGGAGATACTAAGCTAGTACTATTCCTTAGGGCTCCTTATAACCATGATACCAGGAGCTATATTCTAACTATCAAGGCCCCAGCATGGAGGTCATATGGCCTGCGCTGATGGCATGCTGGGACATAACATCCTTCTAAAACCGCGTGTGCAACTCCACTAAAGCCCAGGTCCTGGCCACTAGCCCCTACGCCTTCAACCCTAAAGAAACCCTAAGCCCTAGACCCTAAACCCTAAACCCGAAACCCTAAACCCTAAGCCCTAAACCCTAAAACCCTGAACTCGAACCCCTAAACCCTAAACCCTGAACCCTAAAGCTCAAAGCTCGAAACCTTCAGCTCCCAAAACCCTCACATCCCGAACCCCTAAGATGTTAAGGCCTTAAACCCTAAACCCTTAACCCTAAGACCCTAAGGCCCCCAAGACTCTAGACCCTCAAAGCCGAAGACCTAGAGCCCTAAAGCCCCAAGCGCCAAAACCCCGAAAGCCCTATTAGCCCATGAAAAGCAGTAAAGCCAGAATCTAGAAGCTTTAATACTTGGGGTTTAGGGTTTAGGGTTTAGGGCCAGTATTATTCCTAAGTATACTACAAAGGAGCCCAAAACCCTATTATAATTTTTAAGGCCCCTGCACCTAGCAACTCCAAGGTCTTGGCCGGTAACTACGACCAGCTGAGCGATCTCTGGAGCTGCGGCGTGATCATGTACGCAGGGGAGCTCGGAGTGTTCAAAGAGGACTTAGGGTTTAGGTTTAGGGTTTAGGGTCTAGTGTCCAAAAAGCCTTCGGGTCAGGAATATCATAGTTTTTTGTTTCAGGGCTTGAGGCTGTTGGTAAAGAGTTTCCTCCTCAGCCCTAAAACCCAAGCCCTAACATCCTAAGCCCTAAGGCCTCTGATTTTTTTTGACCCTAAACCCTAAACCCTAAACCCTAAGCCCTAAACCCTAAACCCTAAGCCCTAAACCGCTCCGCACCGGACTCCGAGGTTCTCCTCTGCGGCTACCCGCCCTTCTTCGGAGACACCGACTCGGAGGTGCTGGCCAAGGCCGAGATCGGGTTGAGGACGCGTTTCATAGGCTTTCGGGTCTAGGGTTTAGGGTTTAGGGGTTTAGGGGTTTAGGGTTTAGGGGTATAGGGTTTAGGGGTTTGGGAGTCAAGGGAAGTTTACAGTTTAGGGGTTTAGGGTTTTTTGGGTTTAGGAGTCAGGGGTTTCGAGTTCGAGTTTTGTGAAGGGGCGTCATTATGCGCTTCTGAGGATGCATTAGGGTTCGTAGGGGTTCGATTCGGAGGGTGTCGTCAGGGTTGTACCCGTGGGAAGACCTCTAGACCCTATACCTGGGGTTTCGGATCGCAGCTTGGGATTAAAACCCTAAGCCCTTGATTAATCGCCAGCCCCATGCTGACCTCTCTTCGTCCGTTTAGTTCTACTCGACTTGGTAATTAATGTAGGGGCCTTAATGTCTAGAATAGGGTTTGTGGGTCCATAATACTATAATTATAATATGGAGCCTCCAAAATAGTATTGGCAATTATTTAGGCCCCTACATTAGTTCTCCTCGACTTGGTACTTACAGGATTGGGGTGACAGCCGCTTTGTCTAGACGTAGCGGACAGACGGGTCAGAGTACTGTTGGGTTTCGGGACTTTGTTGTCCTACAGGGTTTTCGGGATCGTTGCTTTCGGGGGTTCTGCAGCTCATGGTCCCAGATGTTTTTGTGTTTAGGGTTTAGGGTTTAGGGTCCTGCCCTTTCTCCGATGGACGTGGGGCTTAGGGATCAGGCCATGTCCAGTCAATCGATTTTTCGTCCTTGTGCAACTACCTCGACTGAACCTCTGGGCCCCTAAACCCTAAACCCTTCTCCTTAAACCCTAAACCCTTCTCCCTAAACCCTAAACCCTTCTCCCTAAACCCTAAACCCGAAGCCCTAATCCCTAAACCCGAAACCCTAAACTGCAAGTTTGGACTTTCTGATCTCTCAGAGCCAGAGGTTCGCTTGGGCAACTTTAACTTCAACCCCGCCGACTGGAAGAACGTCTCCGAGGTCTCCCTGTGCGGTGTGGTGTTGGGGTTTCCTGTTCCAGACTTGGAGGCCCAGGCGACTTAGTAAGTAGGGTTTAGGGTTTAGGGTTTAGGGTTTAGGGTTTAGGGTTTAGGGGACTTAGTAAGTAGGTTATAAGTACCCTAACTGGGTTATTAAGTCCCCTGGGCCTCCAAGGAAGGCCGATGTGTCTATGGGGTTTATGCGGGTCGGGTTTTTTGCATGTGGGTTCACCACCCCTGAAATGTACCTACGTACCTGTCTCTCTTACCTATCCACTGTGATTGCATACCTGCCTACCCACCTGCCTACCTACCTACCTACCTACCTACCTGCCTGCCTGCCTGCCTGCTTGTCTGCCTCCCTACCTACCTACCGACCGTGCCTACCTACCTGCCTACATACATACCTCCCTGCTTGCCCACCTATTACTTGCCTGCTACCTGCCACCCTGCGACTAATGGCGTGCCTGCCTACCTGCCCTACCTCCTATACACCAATCTACCCTACCTGCCTACCTTATCTCATACGCAAACACAGAGGCCAGCAGATAAAAGATACAACACCATGACTCAGGACCATGACCCTAACCGTAACCCTAAACCCTCATGGGCACGTAGCACTCCGATGGATTTCGCGTCTTCTGCTCGCCTCGGTTGCAATTTGCTAAGCGACACACCCGAAAACCACAGACTCTGTATAAGATACACAACATTGTATGTGTATTATATCTATCTATTTATCTATCTATCTATCTGTCTATCTATCTATCTATCTATCTGTCTATCTATCTATCTATCTATCTATCTATCTTTAATAGATACCTATATGTATATAGATACATGTATGTATATATATATATATATATAAATATACACACACACACATATATATATATATATATCCCTACACATCCCCCCTGAGCCCCCCATTCTAGACTTATCTTCAGGATGCGAAGACCTTGATCCGCCCTGGAGCTCAGAGACGCTTTCACTTTGGGCATGGCCGTCAGGTCGGGGATAGGATTTAGGGTTTAGGGTTGTTGGGTTTAGGGCTTTAGGGGTTTAGGGTTTAGGGTTTAGGGTTTTAGGGTTTAGGGTTTTAGGGTTTGAGGGTTTAGGGTTTGGGGTTCAGGAGAACACTAAACCCTAAACCCAAGACCGATAGTTGGTTCAGGATCCTATGGGTTCTCCTTTGGCCGTCGAATGTAGCGCTTCGTTTTTGGGATAACCTTGTCTATGGTTAGGGTCCTACAGAGACTGAGGTAACCAAGAAGTATACGACTTCGGGGCGCTTTACGAGGTAGGAACTGTTGCAGCTGTGGCATGGGTTGAGCCGTTGGAGTTTGGAAGTTTTGAGCTTTGCCGTGCCTGATATACGAACCGAAGTGGCCGGCAATAGTATTCCTTTTCGTCCGTAGCCGTAGACATACTAGTATAAAACTATGACTAACTATGAGTGTGCTGTAATATAATACTATAGACAGTAAGTACTAAAATGTACTACATATTTTACAACACAACCCCAATACCTATTCTAACTATTAGGGCTCTTACTACATAGCCTGAGGAGCCTTCTAAGAACCCCTTAAAACCTCCCCTCATCCGGCCATACATTGTTCTTAATGTTGTGTAGCTTAGCCTGGAAGCCCTAAGCCGCACACCCCTACACCCCTAAACCCCTAAACCCTACACCCCTAAACCCTACACTCCTAAACCCTTAAACCCTAAACCCTAAACCCGAAACCCTTAAACCCTTAAACCCTAAAACCCTAAACCCGAAAACCTAAACCCTAAACCCTTAAACCCTTCAGCCCTAAACCCGACAACCTAAACCATCCCGAA